TATCTCATAATTTTGAAAATCTTGCTTTGGTAAATTATAATTATGACATAAAAGTCATAATAATGATGTAGTATTTCATAGACATTTATAATTATAACTTTAGACATTTTGTATCATAATTATAACTTTTTTATGTCATGATTATGATTCACCAGAGCATGATTTTTTTCCTATATAGCGAAATGGGCTTCCATATAGACAAAATATAAACAAAATTAAATAGTTCACAAATACAAAAATCTAACACAGTTTTCTTTGAACTATAACTTAAATTCTTTTAACTATAACTTGAATTAATTTAACTATAACTTTAATTCAATGATTCAGTGACTGCTGAAAGATACTTGTTTCCACCTACTGATTTATCAATGTAAGTATAACCAGCAGAAAAGACCAGTGTATGAAACTGAACTGATGTTTTTGGTGAACAGGTTCAAAATCAAGCCATTGAAAAAATAAATAAAAACTTCCCAGCACTGGTTTCAAGTTCATTCCTACATTGTACACCTCTTCTCAAAAAGCTACACGATTTGAGCTATCATTGCTGCCACAGGACAGGCCGTTTCTTTTTACTCAGTCTTGTGAAACAGATCTAAACTCATGCCAAACTGAAGTCCCTAGGTTTATAGATCCACAACTGCACTTCATGCATGATGTCATGCTTTCCATTTGCTGTGGTGCCGGCTCCATCACAAGGCTTTTTTCTAAAATAAAGCTTTCTGACTATGGTCACCAACCCCCATTAGCTGAGTACCAGAAAATGTGCACTTGCTATCTATGTGATGTCACATCCTGGTTACCCCTTGGTGTGGTTTAAACAAGCATGTAGCCTACCGCTGGCCCTAAACTGTTTATGAAAGTGGCAAATCAGGCAGTGGGTGGAGAGAGGAACATGAAACACAGAGTCCAGGGTCAAAGAATACAGGAAACAGGATAGAAAATGGCCAGAAGCGTTGCGCATTAACACATCAATTCGGATGGCAAGATTATAATTACATCTCCTAATCTGAAATTAAATTTACAATTATAACTGGTGGCTGAGAGTTGATAATTTATGTCAACCTCATATCATCCTACCTCAAGGGGATGAATGAAACATAAATACAATAATGTGCTGTGCCATAATTATAATATGTAACAAAACTACGTTTAAAGGTCGGCTTGCAGCACTTCAAAATAATGATTTTGTCAACCAGTCTCGCTGATAACTCAAAACCCAGACATCAAAAAGTTGGCCAGGTCATCCAGGGAGGCTGTGTAAATGTGTGTGTGTGTGTGTGTGTTTCACAACCTGTTATTTCACAGACGAATGCTACAGACATCTCATCTTAGGGTACTTACCGTCCTTTTTCCGTACTGCTGGTTCGTCTGGTCAGAGGAGAACTGGCCCCCCGACTGAGCCTGGTTTCTCCCAAGGTTTTTTCTCCATTCTGTCACCGATGGAGTTTTGGTTCCTTGCCGCTGTCGCCTCTGGCTTGCTTAGTTGGGGACACTTAATTTCCAGCGATACCGTTGACTTGATTGCAAAGATACTATTTAAACTGAGCTGGATGTTGACATCACTGAATTCAATGATGAACTGTCTTTAACTGAAAAATTTGTGTTTACTATTGTCATTTTGCATTATTGACACTATTTTCCTAATTAATGCTGTTCAGTTGCTTTGACACAATCTGTATTGTTAAAAGCGCTATATAAATAAAGGTGACTTGACTTGACTTGACTTACCTAGGCATCTGACCACATCGACCACAGTTTTGTGTCTGCCCTACTACTGTGTCCAATGAATATCAAGTAGGCCCCTGCTACTGCACTCGAGAAAGAAAAATATTACATGAAACGCTTCGACAAAAATTCTAACTTTTTTAACTATGTGTATGAAAACATTGATGCTATCTATAGCACACACACACGCACGCGCACACACACACACACACATATAGCAGTCTCATTGCTTTTAGTTATTGTACGGCTGTGCTCTTTAGATCATTACTGGTACTGGCCATAAAAAAATAAAAAAAACATCTTTCGACCACTAAATAATTGTCTGGAAGTCAAATTGAAAATAAAACAGTGAAAGGCATAATTCAAACACACAAAAGTACTGTATTCCGAAAGTGGTACTTCCCAATATAATAATAATAATAATAATAATAATAATTTATTAATTTATGCATTTAGCAGACGCTTTTATCAAAGCGACTTACAGTGCATTCAGGCTATACATTGTTTACCAGTATGTGTATATCAATATCAGACCAAAGGGTTTGGGTATTTTTAAGGTTTTGTATAAAGTGTGCTTGATTTGCTATCCAAATGATACAGCACATCCTTGACCCACTGTAAAGCGAACAAGCACTGGCCTTCTGAGGGCAAAGGGGGAGGTGACGGTTGGTGAATTAAAATGTGCGACTTGAAATTGAGTACTGTAACTGAAAGTGCTAGTTCATATAAGCTATTGATCTCTTGATTTTTTTGTGCCTACAGCAAAATCCAAGGGTCATGGCAATTAAATAAGTTGGCAATGTCAAATGTGTCTTCTCTTTGAAATGTAGTGCATCTCACTTCAATCTGAATGTTCAGTGATAATCCTCACAGGCCAAAATTTGCAACAATAGATTTTGAAGATTTCAAGAGCAGCCACTGATGGGTTTTGATTGGGTCATGGACAATTAGGGGAAAGAAGCTAAATGCATCTAATACAATACAAGCATATAATCATGTATTAATCATGCATTAGGGTTGGGTCATTTTCGCCTCAGTTGAGTAAAAAATATGATTCATAATAATGAGAAGCTTTTTTATAATTATCACTTAGCACCTATGTCTTATTGAGAATTTTTGTTTTCATAATAATGATTTAGCTTATCATAATCTCATTGCATTGAGAAAATAATAAAAGGTAACCTCATAATTAGTTGTTGCGTCATAAAATTGGAAATAATATGAAAAAATTCAAATAAAAAAATTGAATAACTATGACTTAGTAATAACGACTTAAAATCTCATAATGGGAGAAGTTCTCATTATAAGTTAATAAGACAATAATAATAATGTTAATAATAGATTTTTCATTATTATGAAACTTTCCCATTATTGTGAGAAGTTAAGTCATTATTATGAGAAAGTGTCTCGTTTGTTATTTATTTGTTTATTTTTATGAAATGCAAAACAACAATTGACAACCAACTCATATCAAAATAACAAACATTATATATGACTTTTCATTTCAAAATTTAAAAAAAAAGTACGATTATTCTCATCTTTATAAGATCTTAAGTCATTATTACGAGAAAGTTACTGATTATTATGAAATAGTAGGCTAAGTCATTATTAAAAGAATGTTTCTCATTATTATGACTTGAATATTTTTTACTCAGCTGGGACAGGAACTGGCTTCCATAGTCCACAGAATATATTTCAGGAAAAAATGTTAGTCAAATTTACTAAATTCTACATTAATACTGTTCATTCTACTTTCTATATAATACGTTTCTTATTATTATGAAACATTAACTTCATTATTATGAGAAATTTCTTTTTATTATCAGATGTTAAGTAAGTATTATGAGGAATTTTCTGAATATAATGAGATGCTCATTATTATGGCACATTAACTCATAGTTATTATGAGAAAATGTCTAAATATAATGAGATGCTAAGTCACAATTATAAAAAAAGACTTCTGTAGTCTTCCGTAGTCCACAGAAAATGTTAGGGGAAAACAAACAAACAAAAACGTTGTTACCTTTTCATTCTTATTTCTATAATACTGAGATACTGTATTGTCTAAGATACTTTATACATGTTGGAAAGCATGAGATTAGACTTTATTATTTTATTTTAAAGTAATTTTTGTTGTCACTTTTAAAAACCAGTGCTTATTTAAAAAAAGAAAAAATGCTGTCAGAAAGGGGTCCCTTTCATGGGATCGTCATATTTGTGGGTTCCTTGGGATCAAATATTTCTAAAACCTTTGCTCTAGAAGACATTTACTGATGGTAGGCTAAATTGCTAAATTGCATTTAAATGCAAAAAACAGCATGTCAAAGGAAAGGAATGCCACGCTCACATGCTCAACCAGTCATCTTAAAGAAGCTAAATTGCTTACAATTATGGGTCTGTAGCTAAAGAGAAAAGACAAGCCACTTTGTTTAACTAAACTGGCATCATTCATGACAGGGTGATTGTGAGGTTCAGATACAGGCCTACTGGGAAAATAGTAATGTCATCATGATGTATTTCAGAACCGTGGCACACCCACAAAGACCGGATTACAGTCTGATAACACAACCTAAACCGAAGGATAAGGGAAAGATAACATTGAAGCTCAATTTAGGTAAATGTAGCAAGACGTTTACAAACATTGAATAGAATATGGTGATACGGTAAACGTGACGATGACGTAGCATCACCACCAGGACACGTTCCTGTAGCGAAGGACACGCCCCCTTTTCCAGCAACACACCAACTCCGCTTCTGTAGCAACGAACCAACTTTCACACGCGAGCGGCCAAGCAGTTGTGAAACTCTAACAACACCAGTACTTTCTTCTTATGCTACATTTGGATGCAATGTGATACATGGGACATGCAAAAGTTCACGCTCACGTGAAAATGCATACACAAACAGGTGTAATCTTACAGATATTCACCATGGTAATCTTATTTTCTGCCATAATCGCATAGTTCCTACGTTATTATTACAACAAAAGTGTGAGAACGTGCTAAAAATAAATAAATAAACAAGCCAAAGCTTGTTTGCTTGCTAGCTTTATATATTTAACAACATTAAAAACGAAATAAATAAAAGTCAGAATGTTTCTGGAAGCTTCAAGCTTTCATGTAAATGATTTTTACAGTAGCAACAATAACTGTAGTAAGCAGTGTATTACGTAACTTGCATTACTTGTAATATATTACCCCCAACACTGGTAGTAAGTATGCTATTTTGTTGAAAACCTTTAATGAACTTTACATTTAGATGAATGTTAAACCAACCTTGCTTGACACACTTAAGGCGCACAGGGTCTTTGCAGTGTCTGACCACAGCCCACACATCCCTGATGGTCAGTCCGGCCACTGGAGTATCATTGACCTCCAGAAGTAGCTCGTCCTGGTGCAGTTTGCGCCTGTCCGGTTTCACCTCTCCGATAACGGGGAACTGTCCATTCTCCGCGCCTCCCTGCAGCTCGAACCCAAGATCACCACTCGGACCCCTGGATAACACGACCTCGTGGACTCTGTTAGTCCAGTGACTTTTCTTCTTCAGGCTTTTGGACATGTTTGGAGTTGTTAATGTGACAGGAGAGCAGCCATGAAAGCGTGTAATCCGTTCAGTCGGCTCACTAAAGTTGCACGATCCGTCTCTGTGGATGGTAAGAGTCTCCATATCAGCAGCACATCCAAGGCAGCCTCTTAAAACTGCTACACTAACAGTGATGTCCGACTCGCGCGGTTCTTTTTGATGATTCGTCCGAACCAATTCGCTAACCGTGTCTGAATCATTCGGCTGTAAGGAGAACTTTGGGCGTAAAATTACGACACGATAGAAGCGTTAATAACGCAAAGTAGAGTAAACCAGTAAAGGCTTACACCAGTAAAGTAAAGTAAACGAAAACAATGTGATAAGAATTTCATTAAAGAATCATTTTAGAAGAATTTCATTAAATAGCTACTACAAAAATTAATACGCAAAATGCTGCGTTGGAAACACATTCAAATGATGACTGGAATTCGGTAAATTGTTTTTTAGACGGTTCGTTGATTCAGAATGCCACAACTGGACTTCTGCGAGCACTTACAACAAATCAAATGAATCAAATGAGTCGAAGTTAAACGAAGCGGCCGCACGAATCGATTCGCTTACATGACTCGGACTTCCTTACGCTGCATTGAGTGAGTGAGTCCAAACTGATCGGGAAACTGAGCCGGATGTGATGTGAGGAGGAGGAGGGAAGAGACCCTTCCCGCTGGAAAATAGAAAAGAAAAGAAGAGAGAAAGAAAGAAAGTAACGGAACTTTCAGCCTGGGGCGATTTTTCCATTATAAACGACTGCTGTGCCGCCTCCTGGAGAAAATGTAAAATATAACTCAGTTCGGGATAAAGTTATACTTTTTTTCCGCAGCTGTACTGCTGTAGGCCAATGATCACAGTTTTAAACACAGGAATAGGAGACAACACTTTAAAGTAACTTTGATAAACAAGTAATTCACAAACACAGCCTGTCTGTGACAAGATGAAAGTTCTTTTATATTTCTATTTACATTAAAAGCCTATGCCTATAGTCTAATTAATGTTTGTGTAATGTTATAAATATTATTTGACCCAATAATGGAAATTCTGTCCTCGCTGACTTTCTTTCTTGTGTGGAAAAAAAATAAAAATATATATTTGGTAGAAAGTTTTGCACAATATTTAGAATCACTGTGGAAAAAAATGGTTAATTCTGCATATATTAAATTGTATATCACTGCATACTGAATAGAATAGAATAGAATAGAATAGAATAGAATAGAATTTATTGTCCCATTTCTAGGAAATTCATCTTGGACAACCATGACATGGACAGTACACAACATTAAACTCACATAGCACAGTACATAAATAACACATAACCAAAAGATTAAAAAGCTACAGTATACCAATATGATATCTCAGCTATTGACAGTTATAACAGTAAATTGTTTTCTTTTATTATTATGATTATTGTTGTTGTTTGATATATGTTGTTATATTTAGTAACTTGTAGATCCTCCTTTAGCAGCAAAACCATGCACCAAAAAATCTCTGTAGCTACTTATAAGACATCTGATTGGACAGAACTCTGTTCTTTTCATTCTTTATGGTAGTGTGTGATTCGAGTCATTGTCTTGTCGCGTCACTCAACTTCTCTAAAGCTTTAAGTCATGAACTGCTTTCCTGACATTCTCCCTGAAAATAAAAAAATGTATTGATACACTTTATAATTCATTTTTTTCTTCAAGGTGTTTAGACCCTGAGGCAACAAAGCAGCCTTAAACCATGATGCTCCGTCCACCATGTTTGACAGTTGAGCTGAGGTTTGGAGTTGGTATGCAGTGCCCTTTTTCCTCTAAAGACAATGTTCTTCAATTTGGCCCGAAATGTAAACTTTTGTCTCAACTGTCCACGGAACATTTTCCCAGAAACGGAACAACCAGGTAACACTGAGACATGTCTCAATATTTTTTTAGACTGAGTAGCTTCCTTAATGCTGTCCTTGTTGTCCCTGTTGTCCACATGAACAACGTTGTTTTTTTTTTTAAGTCTTTTGCTGTTATTTCTAAGGTTCCTTTTCACCTCTTTTAGGATTTCCTGGTGTGTTGATTCATGAACACCCCGGTCTTTAGCAATGCTTTTGTAGCCTTTTCCAGTGTTTTTAAGCTTTTGATCAAGGCATGGTTCACACTATCCAACCATTCCTGAGAATATATACGTCAGTAACCAGGCTTTTTGGGCTTTTATTTAAAGGGGTCATATGATGCGATTACCGTAAACCGCATAAACACATTTCATTACACCAAATACACAAAATAATGTTCTTTTTAGCAGCATCATATGACCCCTTTAAAGGGCAGAGCATCTGTCCAAACCACACTTCCAATCTCATCTCCTTAATTGACTCCAATTAGCTATTTGAGAAGTCGTAACGCGTGTAAAATTGTAACTGTGTGATTTGAAGATCAGACCATATTTTATGAGTAATCAATGTGTAAATTTGGATATTTTCAAAGGGTTCACAAACATATTCTTGCCACCTTATGCATATATGCATACCCATTTCATGGCAGTACAGCTATTTTAATCTTGCGCAGTGCAGTTTTTCTTATTAGAGCACCAGGTTTTCAAGAAGCAACACAACAAGGTTGAAACCAAGCCAAATGAGTTTAAGTTATTATTTGTTTTGCTATAATCCATCATCACACAAAACTTGCTTTCAAGTCGGCACTTTGTCTCCAAGACAGTTCCCCTGAGTCGCTTTAGAAATATTATTACAGAGCATTTAACTCCATACTGGGAAAACTCCATATTATCTGTTAAACAGCCAAGACTGCTTATTTCACTGATATCTGCATGTGTAATACTCTCTATCTTCTATTCTCAGATTTTATTTGTTTAGATAACAGAATTCATGCTGAAAATGAACTGAAGTGAATGATGGTGTACCGCATGCAGGCTTATAGGTTTCCTTCTTACTGAAAGGAATACTTTAGGATGATGCTGAGGTAACTTTAGGTGATGTTTAGAGGAAGGAACAATGGCCAGTGCTGTGACCTTCGCTCTCTGAGACAGAGGAGCAGCTCTCTGCATTCCACAGATGGGAGTATCGAGCGCTCAGTGAGAGTGGGAGACAAACAGACAGCGAGCGGGAGAGGGCACGCAGAGGAGGGTGTTTTTGACAAGGAGGTTTTAAACAAGTTTAGGAATTCCCTGAGCATTGCAAAAGGATATTGAGGAGTTGGTGCTGTTAAAATGGAAGTCATGTCCACACAAAAGACGCATAAGCAATTTAGCCTATCACACGAGAAAGCGGATATTCACACAGAATGCGTTTAAAAACTTGAGACACAGGACAGTGGAATGGGAAAAAATTTTTTTTATTTTTCATATTTTAAAGCCTGAAATGCACTACAGAAAATTTTGCCAGATTTCAGAGCCAGTCTGCAGATTTTGGGCATCCGGTGTTGACAGATTTCACAGAAAATCGCATAGTGTATGATGGACACAGACTCTGATTTTTTAGCTTCAGACTATGATTCTGTCCAGTCGGAGGATATTAAACATGTTTGATATTTTGAGTCGATTTTGGAACACATATTGTCTTCATTTGTCATGTGTCTCCTAGTTTCTTGAAACTCTGGCAGTGTGTGATCCTCAGTCATTTAGTATATGATGCCCAATTTTTCTCTGTAATCATTTACAAAGTTAGAAAATGTATGATGCCTATAGTGTTTTTAAATTGGTTCAGATTTGAAAAGTCGTGTAGTAGTGGGTTTTAAAACGCTGTGTCATGTGCAAGACAGTGCAAAAGGCATGAGACTAAAGCAAATGCTCAAAGACAATGAGAAAGCAACGCAGTGGAATGCAAAATTGCGTTCTGTTGGATGTTTCAAATATCAGTGTGGACGTGATATTCAGACGAGCAAAATTACGAGTGTGCTATATATTCTGAAGTAAGATAGATATAAGATAAAAGTACATTTTTGACAAAGAAAACTTTTACTAAAACAAGCTCTAGTAGTAATACTCTATTAGAGTGGTGCTTGGGAGATATGAGTGGTTTCCAGGGCGTTGCTATGCTTATGCTTAAGTTATAGATACCTTCCCTCACTGTAAGTTTATATGATTTCATCATCCATCTTGCAAAAAAAACTACAGTAATAACAGACTTCTCCTCAACAAGCCACATGATTGAAGTTATGATTTATGCTCATAGTACAAACAATGTGTCCTGAAGTTCAATACTCAGGGGTTTGTTCCAATCCCTAAACCTAAGTATGAGCAGTATGCAATTCTGTTAGGTCAGAGCTTTGTTTTGTACATGTGCACTCCATTTTCTGCAAAAGGACTATTGGTGCTTGTTCCAAATCTGGTTTATGTTCACTCCCACTCTCACACAATTTCATCCAAGAGAATAGTGCTCCCAAAAATGAGACGCTCCATCCCTGCTGGTACATCAGAGAGCAGGTGGCCTTCCTAAACAGGACAATCGAGTCAGAGAGAACCAAAAGCTGGAGGGAGCAATCTCTCGCTCCCACTATGCACTCCACCAGATGGGAGCACATTGGTCCTGACAGTGATGTCGCCGTGGGGCCTGCAACATATTGCTAGGCAACATGATCTAATGATTATGACAGGCGTAATTTTCAGCCAATTTAAAGCCATCCAGGAATGAAGAGGCAGAGCCTGATGGTTTTAACAGGAGCAGAATGGGACGCAGATAGGAGCTGTTAATGGCTGTTGCGCGCCATTTGGGACAGCAATATTCAGATTGAAACAAGAACCTCAGTCGGTTTCTGCAGTTGGTTGAGTTTGTATGAATTTATTAGAGGTGTTTGCTAAGGCAAACATGTGATTACTCATAGGGTTATAGGGATTTTAATAAACCCTAATTGTTAAACTTAACTCGTAACTCACTACACCTTAGCAACCACATAGCAATGCCCTACCACAAACAAGCACCACTGACACTTATTTATTAAAACAAAAAAACTAAAACAGAAATGTGTAAGGTAAAAGTGTATGCATCCATATATTTGAATGAGAAGGACAAAACCTGCAGCAATTGTTAAAAAAATTCTTAAATTTAGTGTAAAAACTGGCTGCTATGGTTATTTTTATTCTATAAAAAAATATATGATTTCTCTGTC